TACACCAACAACACCAACATTAGCTAACATATATACACTAACATTAGCTAGCTTGCTCTTAAGGCTAGACCATGAGGACAAAAGAATCTAATTTTGGCAGCTTTGCTGTCTTCTTCTCCTGATTTTTTCTCTCCTGTCTCTTCTTACAACCACTTATGTTTGAATGGCATAGTCGCTTAGGTCTGCTCAGCTAATCCGTTTATGCGTTTAAACTAGCCGCCCGAGTGTTGTCTTGTCACATGATCAAATAGAGACTTAAGATTGGACTGTGATGACCCGTTTCCACAGTTGTCAACATCACAGATCTAGTAATTTTTAAATATCTTCATTTAAAAATTTAAAATAAAACACATTTATAATGCTCTACTTTGTCTTATATTACCTTGACAGTAAATGACACAAAAAGAATTAGCGCTGCTGTGAGGGTGTTTCTATACAACGGGGAGTGGAGGGAGTGACGGCAAATTTGACATGTCAATCTCAATATTTTTCTCCTCTTTTGGAAAGTCGTGGAAATGACATATAACAAATAAAACAAGACTATTCATAGTCATTGACTTTTACTAAAATTGTGTTATTTACAATCCCCTGTTGTTAAAAAAATTGTTTAGATAAAACCAGAATAAAAGCTGGTTTTATCTAAACAATAGATTGTTCAATACTGTGAACAATCTCGGTACTAATTGTATTTTATTATTAATACGTTTATTATTAATTTATATTAATATAGTCGCTTGCAATGTGGGCAGGGCCCGCTTGCGCTGCGGGCCCCCCCAGCGGCACGGGCCCCAGTGCGGCTGCACTGTCTGTAGTTACGCCACTGAGTTTCAGTATGGCTATGAATCCTTTGTTAAACACACTAATCCACCCAATGCTAAAATAGTAGTATCCTTTACTGTGCAAAGACAAAATCTTTTTTCTTTTATTTTTGTCTGTCCAACTCACAGTTCAAAGGTTTAAGTAGCTGCTAATGGTGTATGAATCCATTTATGGCTGTCAGGCCAAATACTACTTAACCAGTAAATACATTCAAGCAAAGCTTCATTTCCATGTGACCACAAAAGACAAACTCTTTTATCAGCATGTATTTGGTATGGAAGGCTATAAACAGAAATAAAAACTAACTACAGAGAATAAAACATAAAAGCAGACTGACATTACAATAGATTGTGACAGATACTTACAGATGCTATTAAATATTAAATGTGTGATAATGAATCCAGAAATGTGTTTGTTCAAACCTACCACTGTCTCAACAATGAAGATCATCAAACTCAAACTTCATTCAGTTCATAAATCCATTCTATCTCTAGATAGCAGTATTAGACGTGCCTGTTCACAGCTTTTCTCTCCTGATGTCGTTCGTGTTCTTCCTTTCACAAAATGGAGTCTGATGAAATAGTTTCACTTTTGACATGAACCGATTCAACTGAGCGCGGTAAAGTTAGTTTTAGTTTCGATATTCGCGTGCCACTGTTCTATAGAGTCGACAGTCCAACAAAGATACCACTACCGCGATTAGTTTTAACAATATGCAACAATTGTGCATATTCGACATGAAAATATTATTTAAAAACCGCCTAAGTGTATTCTAGCAGCAAATTTAATCCGGAGAAAGCTTTGACGTGCTATAGCGGCGCTTGAGAGGTAGGTATAGTTTGAGACAGCGCCATGGTTTACTGTACCTGTGCTACAACGTTTTGAAACACATGAACGCTAACATTACATCTTCCGTTTACAGAAAATGTCAACAAGCTCTGCAGTACAGTGTTATGTATGAAAATGAGAATGAAATCATAAGCCAACGCCAATGTTCCTCATAAGTTGTATGCTTCTCTCAAGTTTTAACAAATCAATTATTCAGTATTTTCAGAAGCATGCTAAATAAATGTCTCCCCTCACTTTCTCTGCTGCCAGTTGTTGCGTGACATTGTTTTCATACAAGTTCGATAAACAATAAGTTAATATTGACCAACTTACATTTTAGACACAATATCGTCGGTTATTTGTCTATTTTTGCTCAATGAAAATATTTCCATATGAAGCCAAAACATTTGCTCGTATCCGAACAACACACGGATGTGGTGTTTGGTTTGGGAATGAATCAATATGATTGAACGAATCGGTTGAATCAATTTAATGGTTCAATGACTCTCTCATCGCGCACTCACCCGTAACTTATGATGTGAGTCCAGAAAGTAGCCTACTGAAAAACTGAGATTGTTGTAATGCATTCTTATTATATTAATTATACACCAGAAACTTTATTCATTTATAAATATTTAAATATAAATGTTATAATTATATGACTAATATTATATGGTAACACTTTACAATAAGGTGTCATTTGTTAACATTAATTATTGTATTAACTAACATGAACAAACAATGAACAATACATTTATTGCAATATTTATTATTCATCTTTGTTAATGTTAATTAATAAAAATACAGTCGTTCATTTTTTGTTCATGTTAATTCACAGTGCATTAACTAATGTTAAAATCGTTAACAAATAATGATTTTAATAATGCAGAAGTAAATGCTGAAATAAACATTGATTAATAAATGCTGTAGAAGTATTGTTCGTTCTTACCTTATATTAACTAATGTTAACTAATGAACCTTATTGTAAAGTGTTACCTATATTTTAAACTGTTATTAGTTCAAATAAGAACTGATGTGTTGCTTACAAAAACGTAATACAATTCTGCTAGTAGGAATTAAATTTTTTTAGGTCCAGATATCAAAAATCATGATAAATTTACCATTGTTTTTAAAATAAATGACAAATATTTTAAATTATGTTGTACTAGCAAAGTATGAAAGGACAGCGCAAAAATCATCCAATTAAATTCATCTTCCTTTTATAAACCAGAACTTCATTCATTCATCATGACTGATGTGCTCTGGAAAAGCCAGAGACAGAGACCACTGGTGGTGAGATCAAATATATTCACACACTCATTTGAGCTTGAAATACCAAACCGTCCTATATTGTTGTGCTAAAATGGGAAAGTTCAGACTGTGGCTTTTCATGTAACATCACTGAAGAAAAAATGCTCCTTGCAAAAGCAGATGTTCAACACACCCTCAGTGTTTATAGCAGACACATTCATCCAGTTGTAGTGTTTATCGATGTCTATAAGAGATCTGGAAAGCTAGACTAGGAAACAAGGTAGAGCAGAGATGAAATGCAAACAAGAGAATGTGTGTGTGAGAAAGAGGTTTGTCTTCAGCTACTTCTTGAAAGTTGTGATGGTTTCAGAAGGTTGTGTGGAGCAGTAGATTGGGAAGATTGGGCATTGCTGTAGTTCAGTTTTACAATCCACAAATAGAAAATGCAGTAGACAAAAAACATAAGGTACGTAGATCCAAAAATACAATGATATAAAGATGAAAGAGATCTGCACTCGTCCAGATTCAGCCAAAAAGGCTTATTTCATTTATTGCTCAGAGGTCACAAAAATATGTGCAAAAAAGGGCAAAATGTGCAGAAGTGCAGAACGTTTTCGGGTATTAACTCTTCCTCAGTGCCATCCTGTTTTGCACTGTTCATGTCCATTTTGCACTGTTTTGCACATATTTTTTTGACCTCTGAACAATAAATGAAATAAGCCTTTTTGGCTGAATCTGGACGAGTGCGGATCTCTTTCATCTTTATATTATTGTTGTTCAGTTTTGAAATGGCAAGTGCTTGAATGAGGAGCTGCGCCGCATACTCTGATAGGACGAGTCTGATCTTCCTGGTTGGTGTTAGTGTTGCAGACCCCAGTTAAACAGTCCTTTATCCAAGCAGAGATGTATTCAAGGCAGGTAGAGACACAAGCTGAGACAGTGGGATCATCAGGTTGAAACTACAGATAGAGCTGTGTATCATCTGCAGAGCAGTGGTAGGAGAGAGTGTCAGTATCTTCACTGACATCATGAGAAGAGAAGTGGTTAATGTTGGGGAGAGATGCAACACCACAGAGAAGAAGCGTGTAGAGGAGATAGAGCAAAGGTTACAGCGAAAGGAGATCAGAGGAGTCATTGGTGAGCATGAAAAGAGAGTGAAGGAAAACTGGAGAAAGAAGTGACAGATAAATTTTAATGGAGTGACAAGGTGGTTGTCAGTGATGCAGTTAGGTGTGAGGATGAGGTCTAGTTATTTGCCTGCTTTGTGTGTCTCAGCTGCTTGAGGTTTGTCACAGTGAATGTTAAAGTCACCCAGGATTTCCAGCTGTGTTTCATCCTCTGGGAAAGAAGACAGCAGCATGTCTTGACCTGGAGGACTGAAGGTGTCAAGATTAATTTTGGCAGAATCAGTAACAGTTATGGCATGATATTCAAAGAAAGAGTAAGTGCAGAGAGAGGAGAAGGTCTTTATCAAATAAACCTTTTTGAATCATCTGTATTCATATATTTATAATCTAAATAGATTAAAACAGATATTGAACTGCAACATTACCAATAATTCAACTATCACGTAATGAATAAATATAAATTTCTATTTAGTTATTTCAACTGCAACATTGATTTGTAAATATTCACAATAAATACTTGACATATTACTAACAGCACTGATTCATACGGAGTGATAAACACATAAAAATAGTTCGAAAATTTAATTTTATTGATTTAATAATTAATGATAGTTAATGATAAAGTTGCTAAATGGCTGCAAGTATTTGGAAACAACAGACTAAAATACATAATTTGAGGATAAATTATCAGCCCATAATAATGTTGAGCTCAAGACACAAGCTGATCATTGAATGTATTCAGGTTTTACAACTATGAGAGATTCTCAAACTCTCCTGATCATCGAGTCTCAAACAAAGAATACATCTGACATGAGTTTGATCCACATCTTCAGCTCTACTGAACAATCAGTCTGACTGTGATTTTAAGACAGACAGTTGAGAATGAGTGATCAGGAAGAGATGTCAACCTTCCACATGGAGCATAAGATGAGCTCCACAGCCTTTAACATTTGTGATGACGTGTGTTTAGAAGATGAGCTCTGACTGACCCTCAGTTACCATAGTAACAGAGCAAGCGGTTGCTAAGAACTGTTTCCTGTGAGCGAGAAACTAAATCTTCCTCCATGTGGCGCTCAGTGACTCAGAAAGACAAACCTCATATTCGGATGCCTTTATAAAAACACAAAACAAGTCTGTGGTGTGTCTCATTCAGACTGAAGTCAACGTGTTTTTATACACACACACACACTGAAATTAAGATTCGAAGAGAGAAAGAGTTTACAGTTGTTGAGTTCAAGAGAGATAATGTGAATGAGTTTCTTTCACTTAACTGTGTGTCTCACTTGCTTCTCATGAAAGGCTGTTTAATCTCACACAGAGACACTGAACTACCAGAATAAACCCCAAATCCAGCATAGAGGGGTTCAGTGAATGTGCTGTTGAATGTGTGTAAGCGTGTGAGTGTGTGTGTGTCAGAGACGCTGTAAAAGGACAGAGTGCCGGCTGACCAGTCCAGATACACTCCTACTTTCTTAGGGCGATGTGAAGGGACAGATATTTCTGTGATCTTATTACTGTGTCTCACAAAGAAACTGTTATTAAAACAGTTCAAACTCCAGGACTTTTCATTGTATCCAAGCAAACAGTCATCACTCTCTCCTTTCCTGCTGATTCCTTTATATGTCACTGATATATAAACCTTCCCACTCCATTCAGCCTCCCAGTAACAGCGTCCAGACAGACTCTTTCCACATAGAACTTGATAACACTCATCAAATCTGTCTGGATGATCAGTATATGTTTGCTTCTCTCTCATATGTGTCACTTTTCTGTTCCTCTCAGACAGAGACAGATAAGTGTTTGCTGTGTTTAAATCCAGTGTGAGATCACATGCATCTGAACACAAGAAGAGAAATTATAACACTCCTAAAACAAAACAGTGATTAAAGTGTGTGTATGTGTGTGTGAGAGACCTACATTTTTGTGGCCCTGTTATAATCCTGATTTCTCCTCCATGATCCACACTATAAAAACAAAAGATGAACCCATAATAATGTGGATGGCTGTTCAGAAATTATTTTGTTAATGTTAATATTTTCTAATGATTTATTACAGTGGTTGAAAGCATGGAGACACATCAAACTCTGTAAATTTACTCTTGGTCATTGTCAGATGATTAAGTAGTGTGTTAAATGTTTGCAGTAGTACATACTGTGCAATTTGTTCTGTTTATACAGCATACCTGACCCTGATTCATTACTACCAACACTCAAAATTAACAAAAATATAAAGCTTTTAATTTTATTTATCACTGTGTTTTTAATTAAGTTTAATATAAAACAAGGATGTTTTTCTAGCTGTAATATAATTTCAACCTAAAGTCAGTTCATCTTTACAACTTAAAAAAAAAAAAACAATCTGGACAAGTCCCATGGTAAATATAATGTAAGCAAATAATGACAGATATTTAATTTTTGATGTTTAACTAAATCTCCAAAATCAGGCCAAAGTCCCTTCTGATTAAGATCCTTTGAGCTGCTCTTTCTGTCCTCCTGCATTACATGTAGTTTCTGATTCACAGTCTCTATCACTGGACAAGTTCCTCAAGCCTTGACCTACAGACTCACCTCTACATTTACTAATCATTTGGGTCTAAATCATTTCATTTGTGCAGGTGTTAACTGATATTCATCTACTAACTGCATTAATCTCTTTCTGTTCAGCTGCACTGAGCTGATCTGCTTTATTCAGTTTCACAAGGTCAAACATCATTTCTTCTCATTTAGACTGTGATCTCTGTGTTTTCAGATTGTGGACCTGTTTTTGCTTTGTGTCTCCGGCAGCATCAAGAATTTACTTTCTAGAGCAGCAACAAGCTTTGACTTGATGTTTTGGGATCAGAGTCTTGAGTCTGTTTCTCAGATGCTGCTGTTATGAGTCACAAGCAGCTGTTGAACTGAATCAAAATCAACTTCACTTACAGAGTTCAAGACACGCCCTTATCTTCCATGTGCAGTATTGATGAGTATATACAGTATGTGCTGTATGCAGGGACCTATTTACATATGAGTTTTCAATGACTTTATGACACATGACAGGTTGAGATTGTTAGTGTTGAACATACTTGAGTTTGTCCAGTCTGTAGTTTGGATCAGAGAGCAGCTTGACTAATGATTGTCCTGGGTGATTGTAGCTCAGATCCAGCTCTCTCAGGTGTGAGGGGTTTGAACTCAGAGCTGAAGCCAGAAAACAGCAGCCTTCCTCTGTCACCATACAACCAGATAACCTACAAACACACACAAACACTCACATAATCTGGGACTTGAGGTCATCTTAAACTGAAACACACACAGGAGTGTTCAGATTCCTGTCACTATGCAAAAAAATAAAATTATTAATTGTTTCAGTGTATCACTTTTTATCCACAGGTCACAGATTGCAGGTTCAGTTCAGCTTGAGTAACTCTGGTTTCAATGTTTTACTCAGTGTCACAGTGTTGGTGGAGCAGAATTTTTTTCTCAAAAACAGTTTCTGTCATCTCCACTCCTCACAAATTACAGATCTTCTTTATGCACCAAGAGCTTGTAACACTCCAAAGAGAAAGGAAAACTTGAAATCACATCATATGACCCCTTTAAACATTGAGTAAATCATTTCACTAAATATCTAAAAAGTTCATAAAAAACTGTCTGGAGCAAATGCAAACTTAAAGTCTTCAGACACACTAGGGTCTGTGATATATTACCAAAAAAAAAAAAAAAAATCAGTAAAGCAGAGGGCATCTTTCATTTAATAACCATGTGAATCTTCATCTGATTGTATTACCTCAGTATGTTGAGTTGACAGTGTGAACTCTTCAGTCCATCAGAGAGCAGCTTCACTCCTGAATCCTGCAGGTCATTGTTACTCAGGTCCAGCTCTCTCAGTGAGTTTGATGATTGTAGAGATGAAGACAAACTTTCACAGCAATAACCAGTGAGATTACAGTCAGCAAGCCTATAACACAGGATGAAATATAATTTTTTTAGCAACATGTATTCAGTGTAGCATCAGTGTCACAGTGAAGTAATAAGGAGGACGTAGGACAGAAAAATGCCAAAAAGAAGACAACACTATTACTCCAGCTGGTATTTAACTAACAATAAAATGTGAACCATGCTAAAAGTCCAACATAAATTCTAAAGGTCAGAAATAAAATTTTTGGTACAAAAAACCTTGACTAAAATTTAGTAGATATGGCTAAACTGCTGTATTTGCAAAGATGTTTATAAATATGTACTATCTCTCTAAACCTAAACTGCATAAAGTACTATATGATGAAGTGAACCTCATGAGAGAAAATAAAATGATTTACTATTTACTAAACAACTAAACTGTACATGTTCATAACCTCCTTCTGAGTTTGACTGATTCCACGTTGTTTGGAGTGAGTCATGAGATACTAAACACTTCTGACCTCTTCAAACAGCTTCTGATATACCTGTAAATTATTAGTGTCATGATTCGATGAAGGAATATTACTGTGTCTCAACAAAACAAACACATTCAGTTTTATCTCCAATCACATAAATGAATACTCACAGTGCCTTGCTGCAGTTCACCACAGCTGGTATCAGTCTCCTCCTACCCTCATCTGATGTGTTGTATCTCTTCAGATCAAACTCATCCAGCACCTCCTCTGATATCTGAAGCATGTAGGCGATTGTTGAGCAGTGAGACAGAGAGAGTTTCTCCACTGAGTGATTCTTTGATTTCACAAACTCCTGAATCTTTCTGTACAGAGTCTGATCTTTTATTTCCAGCAGACAGAGGAACAGATTGATGCATCTGTCAGCTGAGAGACATTCATAATCACCCTTGATTCTGTCTTTAATGTACTGTGTGATTCTGTTGATTGTCTCTGAGCTGTTCACTGTGTGTGTCAGTAGATCCTGTAAGAGTCTCTGATTGGACTCCAGTGAGACGCCCAGCAGGAACCGCAAGAAAATATCTAGGTGTCCATTTTTACTCTTTAAGGATTTATTAATTGCTGATTTTAGTAGCTCATACGAGTTTTCCTGACTGCACCGCTGATATTCGTCATTCAGAAATGACTTCACTGATTCCTCATTCTTGACTACATAGGAGTGAAACAAAAAGAAAGCCGCTAGAAACTCCTGAAAGCTCAGATGTATGAAGCAGTAGACTTTCTTCTGATGGATCACAGATTCCTCCTTAAAGATCTCAGTGCAAATCCCAGAATACACTGAGGCATCAGTGATGTCTATCCCGCTCTCAATCAGGTCCTTTTCATAGAACATCACATTGCCCTTCATCAGCTGTTTGAAAGCCAGTTCAGCAAGTTTCACAATCACATCTCTGTTGGACTTCAGGAGATTCTCTGGATCTCTCTCATCATACTTCTGACTCTTCATGTTGATCTTCTTCATATTTGTTTGAATGAGCAGGAAGTAGATGTACATTTCAGTCAGAGTTTGAGGGATTTCTGCACTGTCATCTTGTTTCAGGAGGTTCTGCAGCACAGTGGCTGAGATCCAGCAGAAGACGGGGATGTGACACATGATGTGGAGGCTTCTTGATCTTTTAATGTGTGAGATGATTCTGCTGGCTTGATGCTCATCACTGATTCTCTTCCTGAAATATTCCTCTTTCTGAGGATCATTGAATCCCTGAATATCTGTCACACGGTTGATGTATTCTGAGGGGATCTGATTGGCTGCTGCTGGTCTGGAGGTGATCCAGATGAGAGCAGAGGGAAGCATGTTCTGGGTGTTTTCTCCATCTGTAAAACCTCATGTTCTTCATTTACTGTTTCACTTTCTCCCTCTATGATGTAGAGCTGTGTGTAGATCCTGTTCAGGAGAATTTGATTCCCTTCTAGTTTGATTCCCTCAAATAAGCTCTCATACCTGTTCTTCATGCTGGTTTGGTGCTGGTCTTTGACTCTCTGCAGGGCTGTTTTGCTGTTGTTCTTCCTGAAGACATTCTGACAGTAGGAGACAAAGCGAGTCAGAAAGGGCATCACTGATCGGCTCACATTTCCTCTTCTCAATCTGCAGAAACAGTGAGATGAACAGAAAAACTGTGAAAAGCATAAGAGTTTCTGTGCTCCAGAATGTGGCTTTCTCTCTCTCTCTCTCTCTCTCTGTGTGTGTGTGTGTGTGTGTGTGTCCATGCAACAGTGAAGGCAGCATATTATTTTAGAATGGTGAAAATCAGAATATAATTATGCAAAATGAACAGGTCTGAATGTATTTTAATTTGAAGGGAAACTTGGTAAAGCCAAAATGTGAATTTTGAGGTTAACTTAAATATGTTTTTAAATGTCTTCAATAACAAATGTAAGCATTAGAAATTATCCCAAAGCTCTCCAAAGTCCTTTAAACAGGTGCTTGTGCCAGTGTTTTGAGGCTTGGGCATGATGATACTACCGTAGTACTGGTATACTGTGTAGTACCTTCCTACACAATGTAGTTGAATGATGCACTGCAGACATCTGAAAAACATTTGGATAATGGACATATAATGCAGAACATGGTTTACCCATGTAGGACATGTTCCTGGGTCCTTGTTTATCAATTTTTATACTCACTCAGTGTCAGAGGTCACTGCTCCATCACTGAGAAGAGGAGGGATTCCCATGGATGCGTCACTCTTCACAGACACACAGCTGGGATCTGGAGATTCTGCTTTATGCATGTCAACATCATCCTTCTTTTCTCTCTTCACATTGCGACTCATTTTAGAGGCAGAGCTGTAGAAACCAAGAGGGAATAGAAGACAAACACTAAAATAACACTCTTGGATGTGCTTTTTCAATTTCTGTTTCTAAGTGAATGCTAATTCTAATGCAATCCTTTCCTGTTTGGTGACAGACCACTTACAAACATAAAACTATAAGTAATCTCTACTTAATAAATAGTATATTCTTTTGTTGAAGCCATCAGCATACAATATTTCAACGTGTTTTAAAAAGTTGTGTTTAACAGTAGATTTCATGGTGGGAAAGCTACACACCAAGATCTCTTTAGCCCTGCCCACTTCCATGAAGCACCTCAAATGACTAAATTGAGCCTGTCTCCATACACTCCTCAAAATACTCAAAATATTTAGGTAAATATATGTCTTTATGTCCAATTTCTTTTTTTTCTTTCTTTTTTTCCTTCAAATAAAAGTTTGTAACATTGTGATTCATATTATATGGGAAAAATTAGTGGAAAAAATATATTTTCAGAACCAACAATGCTGAAAAATTAGGTGAGCACTAATGCACTCTATAAAGCCTAACTGCTCCGGCTCCTCAGTATCTGAGCAATATTAGAAGCTTGTCTGCAGTAATTTTAGAATCCCTGATTATGTTTCACTACAGCAGTTTAATCATGTTTATACTCACTCAGGGGCAGAGGTCGCTGTGCCATCATTGAGAAGAGGAGGTATTCCCATAGATGCGTTACTCTTCATAGACACACCGCTGGGTTCTGGAGATGTAGCCTCCTCCTCTTTCTTCACATAGAGACTCATTTCACAGGCAGTGCTGTAGAAAAAGACAAAAACAGGCAACTGAATTTCCTTATTTAGACATAAGAGGAGGAATAATGAAATCTTCATGAATTCTAATGTCATACACTATTAAAGTATATAATGAAACAAAGCTTTGGATGAATAATCACCAGTCTAAAGCTGTTCAACTCAACTCCCAGTTCAGTACATTCAGAAATGATTCCTAAAATCAGAGTAAGAAAAACTCTCAGCAGACTATGCTTAAGCATCTGAAAATACTCTTAAATTACTGTTCACATTGATTTATTCATGAGAATAAATACAGAAATGTGTTTGTTCAAACCTACCTCTGTTTCAACAATGAAGAACATCAAAACACACTTCATTCAGTTCATAAATCCATTCTGTCTCTGAATAGCAGCATTAAACCGATCTGTTCTCAAACTGGTTATTCACAAACAGCTTTTCTCGCTTGATGTTTTTTGTGTTCTTCCTTTCACAAAATGGAGTCTGTTTAAATACTTTCACTTTTAAAACAGTTTCACTTTTGACAGTGTCACATGGCCAGTGAAAGAAGAGAATCCTGAAAAATTGTTAAAGGAATATTCTGGATTTAATACAATTAAGCTCTATTTAAGTGTAGTTTGCTGTTGATTAACACAAAAAATAAATATTGTATCATCCTTCATTTTGTACAAACATCCCAAAAGCATGTTTAAAATAATGCTTTCACTTTACCTGTACTAAGATGCCTACAGACCAGCTCAAACCAGAAGAAACCGCCACAGACAACATGGGCGAATCCTACTATGTGGATGGTATGTCAATTTAACCCGTGGGGATAAAAACTCCTCAAAAGACTGAACTAATTTGCACAGTGGAGAGGAATTAAGCTTATCAAAAAACACCAAGATCATTGCTTATGGAGGTGCGGAGATACCCACAGCAGGATTTGTTACTTTCACCTGCCACTCATCTGAAAGGGTTTATAACCTCTCATTCTACGTGGTAAAGAGAAATGTGCAACCATTGATAGGACTACCGGACTCTTTACAAATGAAGCTGGTCTCATTTAACAGCTGTCAGATGAAGATTCAAGTTTCACAAGCCAGATTTATTCAGAATATTCAGACCTTTTCAAGGATGAGATTGGTAAACTTCCAGTAACATATGCAATGAAACTGGACCCAGCAGTGCACCCAGTTGTAAAACCTGCACGCAAAATCCCGACAGCCATGCACGGCAAGGTCAAGGCAGAATTACAAAGAATGGTCAGTATGGGTGTTTTTATTCCAGTCTCGGAGTCCACTGAATGGGTATCATCAATGGTAGCAACGCACAAAAATAATTTAAAGGAGATAAGAAAATGCATTGACCCAAGAGACCTTAATAAAGCCCTCCTACGTCCACATCATCCGATGCGGTCTAGAAGAAGTCGCATCTCAAATGCCAAACTGCTCTGTCTTTTCTGTTTTGCATGCGAAAACTTCCTTCTGGCAAATTTCTCTTGATAAAAAATCATCGATGCTGACGACGTTCAACTCATCATTTGGGAGATTCCGATTTATAAGCATGCCATTCGGAATCAGCACAGCGAGTGAGGTGTTCCAAAGGGCCATGGAGCAAATATTTGCAGGTTATCCATGTGCTGTTATAGTGGATGACATCCTCGTGGGAGGAAAGGATGTGAAAGAACACAACGAAAATCTCAAGAAAGTTCTGGATTGTGCATGAAAAGTTAACCTCAGAATGAACCCCCTCAAATGCAAGTTTCGACTGTCAGAGGTATGCTATGTGGGACATGTGTTCACAAGTAAAGAACTAAAACCAGACCCTTCAAAGATTATAGGAGACATATTATGCCCCTTTTTACAATATGTAATATAAGTCTCTGGTGTCCCCAGAATGTGTCTGTGAAGTTTCAACTGTGCAGCCAAACACAGAACAGTTAGCATGCTTCGCTCAAACTTTCATCATGGCATTAGAGCTAGCGCACCGCTGTCGCTTGCAAATCAAAATGATGGTGTCATGGGCGTAAACTTGCAGATTAAGGGGCGGTAATATTATAATGAGATCCTTTTGCCACGTCACCAAGGGAGCGAAATCTGACGCGCTCGTTTTTTCAGACACTTGCAGAAAAAGGCTTACCAAAACAAAGTTACTGGGTTAATCTTTTTCACGTTTCCTTGGTTGGTAGATGCACCGGAGACCTGATTATAGCACTTAAAACCTGGAAAAGTCCGATTTTCATGATATGTCACCTTTAAGGCAATCTCAGAGATGGAAGTGCCAGAGAACGTAACAGCCCTACAATGCTTTAGAGATGGTTAGCTATCTTGGAAAATTCATTCCAAGTTTCAGCGACCTATCAGCACCCTTACGAGAGCTGACTCACAGAGATGTTGAATGGTGCTGGCTTGAACATCATCAAGATGCATTCATCAAGCTGAAAGAGTGCATCACATCGCCAACACTGAGATATTACAATGTCCAAAAGCCTGTCACACTGACATGTGACGCTTCACAATTCTCATTGAAACAGATCATCAGCCATTGGTGGCAATTCTCAACAAGCCACTGCACATGACACCAGCACGATTACAACGAATGATGTTGAGACTCTAGAAGTATGATTTTGTGATAGGTTACAAAAAAAGGAAAACAAAGGTATCTGGCCGATACACATTCACGTGCCCCTATGAAGAACACAGAAGTACAAGCCACTGAAAAGACTGATTTTGAGGTAATGTCTGTAGAACACATCTCATCATCAAGGCTTGTCGAGTTAAAATAGCACACAGCCACAGATCCAACACTGCAGCAGCTTTGCAGAATAATACACCAGGGCTGACCAGATCGGCGGGCAAAGCTGCCTCTTGCACTCCGACAGTATTACCCATACCGAGATGAACTGACAACAAAGGTTGAGATTGTGATGAAAGGCCAAAAAGCTGTGATTCCCAAGTCACTGCTCATTTGCAATCAAGTCAACGATATCGCTGGAAATGAAGTGTCCCCAACTAAGCAAGCCAGAGGCGACAGCGGCAAGGAACCATATAGTTGAACTATGGTCACTTTAGTAAAACCATGGTTAATTTTCATAAGGGCCTGCCAGTGACAGGCTGTTGCATACATAAAATGCAACTTTTTTATTTTGACAGTGTATGATTTATATTAACATTACAGAATAGAACATGATCAATATGCTCTTTCAACGTTCAATTTAAATAATTGTAATTGCACAAACTATGTAGGCTACAATTTCAATTTGTTTATTGTGAAATAACTCAAACATATGTTTTTTTTCTGTCCTCTGATGAGCATTGTTCAGGGCTGCCGTTCCCAAAAGCTTTAATGCTTTCTTATGATACTTTTGGGAAATGCAGCCCTGTTTGAATGCACTGTCAGAAGTGAGTGAACGCTCTCTTTGATTGATTGGTTCTGTCTTGCAACATTTGCGTGTGTTCAGATGAGCAGGAAAATAGTTCTATCCTACACAATTACTTGCGAACGAAGGTTATTTGTCCAATTCAATGCATTTGTACACATCATTATTATTATTTTAAATAAATAACATCACTGGAAAATAAAACACACCTTAGTATCGATATTTTTAAGATTAGGCTTGTTTGAGATGAGCAAAATCTGCGCAGAACCGATCAACGGTGATCATCGCGAGATGCATGCCGGTTAGAAATAGGCTTGTTTGAGATGCGCCTTGCCTCGCCTGAAATGTAGGCGAGAGTAGGCGGCTGCAGTGAGGGGAGGAGTGAAATAAGCCCAGTCAAGACGGACAGTTCTGACCTCTCGAAGTGGAACAGATACCAACGAGATCAAAGACAGATATCGCGTTATTCTCACTCACGTGCTGTGTTGCTTATAAACATGATATAATTTCAGTTCTGATACTTTTATATGAAAATAAATATGATGAACAAGACACTCAAAGTGCTTGCTATTTAATTCCATACTAAAGGCGTATTTATCATCCATTTTTACTTTAATACAAACAAGTATTTTAGATCTTATAGAAAAAGAAGGATTGGAGATTAATTTAATTTACCAATAAGGTAGGAAATGTGCATACTTTTAAATCGACACCTGCCACGGTGATTCTTATTTGTCATCTGTAATCCCTTTTGAGTGTCCTAAAAGCCTTTGGGGGTTTTATCACTCAGCATACCCGGTTAAAAAAGTCACCGATCGCCACTGATATACATATATAGTGTATATAGACATATATAGAACAATATACAATGCATTTGATGTTAAAACACTTCCATTAGAGTAAAATGAGCACTTTGACGTCTTTGAAGCATTAGCATTGCTCCAAGAAACATGCTAGTGAGCCTAATTCTCAGCAGCTACTAAAACGTGAGATAAAAATATTTCATTTTAATAAAGGTGTAGTAGAAAATGTTGCATAATGTCTTAAGGAAAATAAAACATATATTCTTATATCTTAATCTTATAGTGCAGTAATTTCAGTTTTAATCCATGTTGAACTCAAATGAGTTTTTGATTCTAATCCCTCCTTGACCTCCTGAAAAGGTCCCACTGTTACATAGTCACATCAACAGCAAACTCAGTGTAAGCCATGCTGATTAAATACATAGATTTCCTCGGCTTTATTGATCCTCAAGGGGAAATTCAGGAAGGAACACTTTGACCTGAATGTGATATGAACGTGGCCTTAGACGAGATGAATATGAGTTTCTGTAGTGGTTGTAGGTGCTGCTGGTGAAAATATTATAATTTTACATACTAAAACAGAGGTATTAGACGTTATGCTTCAAAGTGATGCTTAACTGCAAGAATTACTAACTGTGCTTTCATCATATACTTCACTAACCTGTATAGACTGTCAATGATCGCCAAGGAACTGAGTGCATTAATATGCATTTATTTACATGTATTTACTTATGTTTAGCAATTAATTTTTTTAAGTGAATTGAGGGAGGCAATAATATACATTACTATTTTTTAAAATCAATTAATATTTTTATTCCGCAAAGACACATTAAATTCATCAAAAGAGACAGTAAAGACATGTATAATGATTTCATCAAAGAATCCTGAAAAGTAAAATGCATCACAGTTTCTGAAGTATAAAGCAGCACAACTGTTTTCAACACTGATAATAATAATATTTCTTGAGCTGGAAATCAGCATATTAGAATGATTTCTGAAGGATCACGTGACCCTGAAGACTGGAGTAATGATGCTGAAAATTCAGCTTGATTACATTTCACAATATATTCACATAGAAAACGGTTATTTTCAATTGTAATAATATTTCACAATATTACTATTTTACTGTATTTTTAATCAAATAAATGCAAACTTTTTAGTATGTCATTTATAATAGGAAATAGATTTGATGAAAAGTCAAAAATGTAAAACTTGTTTGACTTTAAATAAAAAAGGAAAGAAAATACGAATTAGAAAATGAAGCTCGCTTGCTTATTTTTTTTTATGCAGTTACATTATTGTGATAATTTTTCACAATATTACTGATTTTATTGTATTTTTAATCAAATAAATGCTGTCTTGGTGAGCAGAAGAGACTTATTTTAAAATCATTTAAATCTTATACTTACAGTAGTGAAGAATTTAACTGACATTTGCTCACAAATGTGTTGTTATTTTTTATTTTTATTTTATTTTTTAGCTATTTTACAGTGGATTTTAATGTGTCTTATCCAGTCAGACAGAAAACACTCTTTGAAAGTATTGGAGTAACACAATAGCCACTCTGAGAGCAGAGGAAGCAAATATTTAGTGAATTTCAGTGGTGTTGAATCAGCAGCGTGGTGTATGGGTGATTCCATTAGCTCATAAGTGTCATTAGGACGTGATTAGGGATTTGTTGAATATGTGAGCGATGCTGGGCACATCTGTGTACTGCAGCATTTACAGCTCTGCTCTCCGTCATGCACTGGAAAACATGTAGAGTTGTGAAGTAGCCATCATGTAATTATATATATATATTTTTTTTTTAATACAAATGTTTTATTTTATTTTTGCTGTGAAGTTTATATGCATATCTTAATAGCCTAATTAAGATATTTTGCATATATATATATATATATGTATAAATTTAAGTTGGACCATTAAGATGAGTTGACATGTTTTTCTTATATGTTGATATATTTTTTTATTTTATTTTATATATTTATATCGATTTTGAGGGTGAAATGTGGCCAGAATATGTTCTTGACAGCTTTCATTCAATCGTGAACACATGATAAGTTAACGTCATTGAGCCGAATGTGTTGAGGTCAGTGAAGGATGTAGGAGTCATTATGTGCTGGATGAGGGGATGGATGTGGACTCAACATCACTCACATGCTTTTATGATAAACAGCCTCTGCTCGCTTTTATGACCAACATGTCATTATCATTTTTCTAGTCAGTACCTTGTTGGGATATTCAGTGTCAGAAAAAGGTGCCATAGTATAATGAATGCCTGACGACATGCCCTTGCCATGTGGACATACAATAGTGTTTTTGAGCATTGGCATAAAGCATTCATTCATTCATTCATTCATTCATATTTTTATACTATAAAATATAGAACTAAAAGTTCCCTTTCAGGCAAAGCTGATTTTCAGCATCATTACTCCAGTCTTCAGTCTCACATCATCCTTCGGAAATCATTCCAATATTCTGATTGGTGCTGGATTATCATTAGTTATTAATGGTGCTCAATTATTAATAATAATTCATATCAAAGTTGAAATAGTTTTTGCTACTTATTATTTTTGTGGGAAGTGTGATACTTTTTTTAGTGTTCTTTGTTAAACACTCAGCATTTATTTGTAGCAAAAATCTTTTGTAACATATAAATGTGTTTATTGTCACTCTTAAACAATTTAATGCATCCTTGCTGAATAAAAGTATACATTTAATAATAATAATAAATCTTACTTATCCCAAACTTTTGAATGGAAGTATATCATCGTTACCACAAAAATGTTAAGCATGTTTTCAGCATTGATGATAATAAATGTTTCATAAGCACCAAATCATCATATTAGAACGATTTCTGAAGGATCATGAAGACTGAAATGACGGCTGCTGAAATTTAGCCTTGCCATCACAGGAAAATATAAAAATATATTTTAAATTGTAATAATATTTTACAATATTACCGTTTTACTTAAGTATATATAGGCTAGTATTGGTAAGCATAAGAGTTTTCCTTCAAAAACATATGAGCTCCACAGCCTTTAACATTTGTGATGACGTGTGTTTAGAAGATGAGCTCTGACTGACCCTCAGTTACCATAGTAACAGAGCAAGCGGTTGCTAAGAACTGTTTCCTGTGAGTGAGAAACTAAATCTTCCTCCAGGTGACTCTCAGAGATTCAGAAAGACAAAACTCCTGTTGAGCCGCATTCAGATGTCTTTATAAAAACACAAGTCAATGTGTGTTTCTACACACTGAAAATAAGATAAGAGAGAAAGAGTTTACAGCTGTGAGAGGTAAAGAGAGATAATGTGTTTCTTCACTCAGCTGTGTTTCTCACAGGAAGATGTTTGATCTCACACAGAGATACTGAAGTATCGTAATAATAAAACCCAAATCCAGCATAGAGGGGTTCAGTGAATGTGCTGTTGAATGTGTGTAAGTGTGTGAGTGTGTGTGTGTCAGAGACGCTGTAGAAGGACAGAGTGCCGGCCGACCAGTCCAGATACACTCCTACTCTCTTAGAGAGACATGAAGGAACAGATATTTCTGTGCACTTATTATTGTGACGGGCAGTGAAACCATCATTAAAACATTTCAGACTCCAGGACTTTTCATTGTGTCCAAACAAACAGTCATTACTCCATCCTTCCTTTTTGATGCCTTTATTTGCCACTGATACATAAACCTCCTTCCCGCTCCATTCAGCCTCCCAGTAACAGCGTCCAGACAGACTCTCTTCACACAGAATCTGATGACACTCAAATCTGTTTAGGTGACGATGATACGGCTGCTTCTCTCTCACATGTGTCACTTTTCTGTTCCTCTCAGACAGAGTTAGGAAAGTGTTTGCTGTGTCTAAATCCAGTGCGAGATCACATGCATCTGAACACAAGAAGAGAAATTATAACATTTATATCAAAAAGTAATGATTAAAGGCCCCAATATACTGACAGCGAAGCTCTTTTTTGTCCTTCACTTAAAGGTAAAAAGAAGTTTAAAAATACACAAGTATATTGTTAGCAAATATATACATCTCGACGCTGCACACATTTCACATCATGTTTATTTTTAGACCTTAGGTAGCTCCGCCCCTTTTCAACATTGCATTCATTGTCTTCTGCTTCTGTATTTCCATTCGTTTTAAAATCTTACGAGTCTACTGACATTGTTATGACATTCACTTCGAACATTATAATGCACATGATAATGTTTGTTATCTCTACAATAAGAAAATCCAAGTAAATCCGCTTCAACAGCAAATTACTAAATAATGTTAATGTTAAGTATTTTTTTTTCTAATCAAAACGTTTTAGAAGGAATGCAATATTCTGCTTGGAGTTAACTTATTTATGCCCCCACCCTTCTCCTTTTTAAGCCCTGGTGTGTGTGTGTGTGTGTGTGTGTGTGTGTGTGTCTTACATTTCTGCAGTCCTGTTGTAATCCTGATCTCTCCTCCATTATCCACACTATAAAAACAAAAAAGTACAAAAATATTTAAAACTAATGGGTATTAAACTGTAGATGAATCTATACACTCTTGTTTACTTTTATTATAAACAAACATAATTAAAATTTAAAAATATGAAATGTCTGGAGTGGGATCAGAGACTTGAGTCTGTTTCTCAGATGCAGCTGTTGTGAGTCACAAGCATACATTGAGCTAAATCAAGATCATCCTCAGTTACAGAGTTCAAGACGTGTCATTATTTTTCTCTGTATGTGTATATATGTGCTGTATGCAGGGATCAATGTACATATGAGTTTTCAGTGACTTATAGTGCACACATGTACAAACACAAATGACAGGATGGTTGTTAGTGTTGAACATACTTGAGTTTGTCCAGTCTGTAGTTTGGATCAGAGAGCAGCTTGACTAATGATTGTCCTGGGTGATTGTAGCTCAGATCCAGCTCTCTCAGGTGTGAGGGGTTTGAACTCAGAGCTGAAGCCAGAAAACAACAGCCTTCCTCTGTCACCATACAGCCAGATAATCTACAAACACACACACACACACACACACACACACACACACTCAACATCAAATTCATCAATGACAGGAACATTAATTGATAAAACAACAGGGTCAGTGTAGTTTAATTTGTATTTTGAATAAATAAATATAGAGAAATAACGATAAATACTCTGGAGAAATTGTGTGCTTTGCAGCTTTGCATGGTGGGTAAACACGCTACTGCTTACAACTTTCACATATGAATCAGTGAATAAAAATCACACATACTTTTCAAAAATATCTTTATAACAGGCTGGAGCAAATACAAGTCCAGAGTCTTCAGACACAATGGGGTCTGCTGATATATTACAAACACCCAGAAGATCAGGAGCGAAGCAGAAGGCATCTTTTATTTCATAACCAATGAACCTTAATCTGTTTTTCTTACCTCAGTATGCGGAGTTGACATTTTGAACTCTTCAGTCCATCAGAGAGAAGCTTCACTCCTGAATCCTGTAGGTTATTGTGACTCAGGTCCAGCTCTCTCAGTGAGTTTGATGATTGTAGAGATGAAGACAAACTTTCACAGCACTGATCAGTCAGATTACAGTCAGCAAGTCTAGAACACAGAATGAAATATGGTTCAATAAAGAGGAGATGGTGGGTTTAGATATTTCTGTTTTGCACATGGTGTTGATCCCATGACTGATGTTCTAGTCTCATCAGAAGTGAACAATAAATAATGCCTATAAATAATAGAAAATTAGTCAGATACTATTGACTTTATTGTTACATCAGCATGATATATGAGTTCCTGTAGCTCAACTGGCAATAACAATGCTGAAGTTGGGGTTCGATTTCCTGAGAACACGCATACTGAGAAAATATAATAAATAGACAAATGCACCCACAACATAATCTGATATACAGTAGGCAATACGTTTAAAACCCATATATAATACAGCATAAATGCCCATTTTCTCAATACGTAAATATTTAAATTAATGAAAAAATAATTTGCAACAATTAATACTTGTTTAATATAAAAGTTCTTTATAGAACCCAGATGGAGCGAATACAAACCCAAAGTCTTCAGACACACTGGGGTCTTCTGATATATTACAAACACCCAGGAGATCAGGACCAGAAAAGAGGACATCTTTAATTTCATAATCAAGTGAACCTTTATCTGTTTTTCTTACCTCAGTGTATTGAGTTGACAGTGTGAACTCTTCAGTCCATCAGAGAGCAGCTTCACTCCTGAATCCTGCAGGTCATTGTTACTCAGGTCCAGCTCTCTCAGTGAGTTTGATGATTGTAGAGATGAACACAAACTTTCACAGCACTGACCAGTGAGATTACAGCAAGCAAGTCTAAAACACAGGATGAAATACGGTTCAATAATGAAGAGATGGTGGGTACAATAGTTTTTTCTGTGACTAATATTCTGTTGTTAATCAGAAGGTGAACTCTAAATATTGACTGGAAATATAGCCAAACAGAGTTGTTTTGACATCATGGCTGCAGTGCTCTATTAGTCAGATACTATGAAACTTTGTTGTTACATCAGAATAACATATGGGTTCATGTAGCTCTGAGAACACAGTCAGCAAGTCTATAAGACAGGACGAAATATGGTTTATTTCTAACTGAACAGATTTTTGCTAACATAGAGCATCAGAGTCCCAGTGAAGTTATAAGGAAGTAGGACAGATAAATACCAGAAGAAGAATATACTATTACTCCAGTAACTTTCCAGTACTGTATGTGTGATGGCATTGTTACCTTATCCAACTCTGTTATTTTGCTTTTGCAAAGTAAAAGAGAACTGTGGACAGACTGGAAGTTTTTTGGGCCCCACTTTATATTAAGTGGCCTTAACTACTATGTACTTGCATCAAAAATTAAGTACAATGTACTTATTGTGTTTATATTGTATTGCAAAACACTTTTGCTGCTATTGAGGTGGGATACGGGTAAGGTTAGGGACAGGTTTGCTGGTATGGGTAGGTTTAAGGGTGGGTTAAGGTGTAAGGGATGGGTCAACTGTGTAATTATAAATGTAATTACATAAATTAATTACAGATGTAATTACATGCAGGTATTTTTAAAATATAAGTACAATGTAAAAACATGTATGTACACAATAAGTGCACTGTACCACATTATTAATTTAAATGTAAGTACATAGTTGTTAAGGCCACTTAATATAAAGTGGGTCAGCTTTTTGTTTGATCCTTACCTTTTTTATTAATTTTTTTTTTTTTTTTAATTACTTGTTTTTCAGACATTGAATAAAATATAATTTTATATCAAATGTTTCTTTCAATGTTATTGGCTTTTGATTAGATTTTTTTCATTATGTGAAATTATGTTTTTTTTCTTCGAAAAATATAAAGTATAAGCCACAGGAGAATATGTAAATATATATTATATTTATATATAGGCCTATTACATAAAGTATAAGCCACAGGGGAATATGTAAATATATATTATATTTATATATAGGCCTATTACATAAAGTATAAGCCACAGGGGAAAAATAAAATGACGAACAATTAAACTAAACTTCATTAAAGTCTGCACATGGCTCATGATCCTCATTTTGAGTCTAACAGGTTACACCTGTTGTTTGGAGCAGTGGAAGTGTTTCAAAAAATCCTTAAGTATGTCAACCATGGTATGGTAGGGAGGGCCAGGGTATGATGACTGCTATACTCATACGGTAACGTCGCCCTGGAGTTGGAGTGAGTCAGGAAGAACTAAACACTTTTGATTTTAAAAGAGTTTTGTCCTCTCCAAACAATTTCTGATTTCCTTTTAAATTATTGTCATGTAAAAGAAAACAGTGTCATGACCTGATGGAGGAATGACAACTTTACAGCACCTCAACAAAACAAGACACATTCAGTTTCATCTCCAATCACACAAATGAATACTCACAGAGCTTTTCTGCAGTTTACCACAGCTGGTATCAGTCTCCTTCTACCCTCATCTGATGTGTTGTATTTCTTCAGATCAAACTCATCCAGCACCTCCTCTGATATCTGAAGCATGTAGGCAATTGTTGAGCAGTGAGACGGAGAGAGTTTATTCATCAAGAGTTTCTCTGATTTCACAAACTCCTGAATCTCTCTGTACAGAGTCTGATCCTTCATTTCCATCAGACAGAGGAATAGATTGATGCATCTGTCAGCTGAGAGACCTTCATCAGCCTTGAGTTTGTCTTTAATGTACTGTATGATTCTCTTGATGGTCTCTGAGCTGTTTACTGTGTGTGTCAGCAGATCCTGTAAGAGTCTCTGATTGGACTCCAGTGAGATGCCGAGCAGGAACCGTAAGAAAAGATCCAGGTGCCCATTTTGACTCTGTAGGGATTTATCAACTGTTAGCTCATACAGAATGCTTCCACAAATGTTCCCCTGAAATCCTTCATATAGAAGCAAGGTCACTGATTCCTCATTCTTGACTACATGGAAGTAAAACAGATATAAAGCTGCAAGAAACTCCTGAAAGCTCAGATGAATGAAGCAGTACTCACATCCTGGTTCATGTAAGGGTTTAAAGATGTCATTGCAGTAGATTGGAGTGTCTTGTGTTCTGGGTGTTTTCTCCATCTGTAAAACCTCATGTTGTTCATTCACTCCTTCACTCTCTCCCTCTATGATGTAGAGCTGTGTGTAGATCCTATTCAGGAGGGTTTGATTATTTTCTAGTTATTCCCTCGAGTAAGCACTCATATTTGTTCTTCATGCTGGTTTTGTGTCGGTCTTTAACTGTCAGACCTTCATCAGGCGGAGATTCAGAGTCTGTAGTGCAAGTCAGACAGGGTGTCACTGATCTGGTCACATTGGGTCTTTTCAATCTGTGGAAACAGTAAGGCGAACAGAAAAACTGTGAAGCTGAGAATTGAACATCAAGCACAATTCATCCACTTCAGAAACCCATTCTGTTAGTCTCTGGTCCTTGTTTTAAAGCTTGTCTAATGTTAAACAATATGGACCAGTTGTGAAATTTCTTTATATATCTAGAGAGGAGAAGAGAAACAATGTTAGGCTCCCTTTGTCACAATCTTGGCACTCCTGTGAATTTATTTCTGGTCATTAGTGATATGATCTTGGCACTTCTGTTATGTTTTTGTGTTTTGTGTCTCAGCACATAGTTTGCTTCATTCCTGACCCTGTGTCTTTTAGTAAGTGCCATCTTTTCCGTTTGTTTCCTCTTTTGACTTGCAGGTGTGCTATTATGATGAAAAACCATGAGTGTTTATAAGTCATTTCTATTTACAAATATTCAAAAGAAAACCATACAAAGTCTCAATATTCAATATCTTGAAAGCATCTCATCAAAAGTTTCACGACAGCAGTTAAAGCATGTTTATACTCACTCAGGGTTAGAAGTTGCTGCTCCATCACTGAGATCAAGGCGGCTTACCATGGATGCATTACTCTTCACAGACACACAGCTGGGTTCTGGAGATGCTGCTTTATGTGTCTGAACATCCTCCTCCTCCTCCTCCTCTCTCTTCTCATAGAGACTCATTTCACAGTCTGTGCTGTGGAAGTTGACAATAACAATAAACTTAACCACTTACTGTGCGCCCCTATTTTTGAGCATTTTCTGAAAAACGACATACCCAAATAAAAATATCTGTAGCTCTTGAACCCTATGGTCTATATTTATAAATCTGGTATTGTTTGAAACTAGACACTTGAACCTTTGTTACTCTGGAGTCATAATAACTCAAAATTAGTATAGCAACAGAGTAAAACAAGGTAAATTGTACATGAAAGTGACTCACGATATCTTTGAATGAAATTCACTAAGGGAAAAATGGATGAGGCTTTAATGCTATTGGCCTGAAAACACCATAAAGATAAAGCTGAATGTCTGACCATATTTTGATTCAAATTTGAAGATGATACTCCCAAAAATGTAGTTTCTGTAAGCTTTTATTTAAAAAAAAGGTCT